TAACATTTTACATGTATTCACGGTGAAGTTTGCCATCCTGTGTCGCTTTGCGGCGCTATACGATCTTTGGTGGTGTCGTCATACTGAATGTAGAAGTTGATGCAAGATGGATACAAATGCAATATTTGCAGTATTCAACCCATGCCAACCCCACATCAACCCCGATATTGATTTTTCAGCATGGAGTGATATTCTCACCCGGGGTTTGAAACGGTATTCAATAAGGAACGAGCAGGGTTGAGTTGATAAAGAGTTGAGAACTTAGTAATTTTTTTTTTGCCAAAGTAGCATGCATACTTTTGCCAAGGAGATATTTCGTTGCTTGCTGACACCACACCTGCCATCTTGACTCAAGCATATGCCGAGTTTGACATCCCTTATTTGCCATATAAAACAGTCAAACAAATGCAACAAATACTTCAACAAGCTCAGAGCATTATCTAAACAAATATTTTGTGTTTTACCCCTAACAGTCCCGAATGCTACAATAAGACAAAATCATAACCAATTTGAGGAAAATGGTAAGCAATTTTGCATTGCCATTTTATGGGGTAAAGTTTAGGACATTTCTACTGTTTTAACATAACCAATCATCTTATCCCTTAGGGGCTGTCCAATGTTAGGTTCAACATTTATTTCAATATTGCCCTACAAAGACACATAGATAGTACATTGCTATACTTAAGGACAAGAATGCACACATTTAAATTCAAAATACATTTAAACAATTAAATTATTACGCAGGACAAATAATATTAAGACTTGAGCACAAAAGCATAGGGCAACATCTAGGTACGTGGGTGAAGCTAAAAGCTTTTGTACCCTGACCTGGGATTGACAAGGACAAAGACTATACAAACATTAGATATACAGGAATGAGACAAGATTTAACCTTGACTGAATCCATCTGTCGGATGGGTACATTGCATTATAATTTGGTGGCATCACAAATTTCCAAATGTGTATCAAATAGTGTCATTTTCAGTTTCTTGGCAAATGCAGGCAGAGTTGGCAATAATTTTAGAACGTCATTCAGTTTATTCCAACTTGAAATGCCACGATTAACTAGACTATTTGTATTTAGGGCTGTTCTACTGAATTGAACATAGAGATGCTTTCTGGATGCACTTCGAGTATTACAGGAATGAACATTTGATGCTAAGGTGAAACATGCATTAACCCTAACAGTACCAGGCGTTGTTTGGCTTAGAGTACTCAGTACTACAAAGTACTATGTAACACTCTGAGCCTGAAGGACCTAGTGCTACAAATTACTATTTCTGGCTAGGTTTATTCCATTGTTACTCTTACAGAGAACAATGAAACCATGCATTCATAGTGCCACAGCACTGTATGGTACATTGTCTTCTCGATTGTATTTTATGGCTTCAGAGAATAATAATATCATGTCCTCTTACAAGCGACAGGGCTGAGTACTACATTTTACTACTAAGTAGTACTTTGTAGCATTCGGCACTAGTAAGGTTACAACAAGATGGCAATGCATTACTCGTATATTTATACATAAATTTACATAAACAAAATTCGTACAAATCGTTAAAATGTAGAATTTTAAGTTTGGCAAACAATGGAGCAGTATGACCACAATAATCAGTCTTATCAATGACACATACAGCTCTTTTTTGCAACTGCAGGATTTGTTTAACAATATACAGTACGTAGCCCCACCCCATGTAATTATTGAATAGTTCAAATACGGAAGAACAAAGGAATTATATAGGGCAAGCAAAATACTGCTTGGTAAATAAAGCTTTAAGCGATTCATTATGCCGATATGTTTTTGAAACTTTACTTGCTACATCATTACAGTGGTCCTTCCAATTAAATGCTCATCAATAATAATACCTAAAAATCGAGTGCATTTTGATTGCTTCAGGTATATACCATGTACAGCAATTGGAATAGTTTGCATATATACCTCATCTGTTTTCCGCAGAATATCATGTAAATTGATTTATGTAAATTAATGCATAGCGTGTTAGCTAAAAGCCACTTATTTATATTGATAAGCTCTCCAATGATATTTTGAATGGCTGTATCAACATTAGTGTGACTATATAACAAGCTGGTGTCATCTGCAAAAAGGCAAAAAGATATAATATCTGATGTATTGCAGATGTCATTGATAAGACAAAACAGCAGGGGACCCAATACTGAACTTTGCAGGACTCCGCAAGATATAACATAAGCATCCGAGTTAACCGAATTATATGAAACAAACTGTTTTCTATTACTTAAATAACTTTTAAACCAGTTTAGCGCAGTCCCGGGGACACCATAATGTTCAGGTTTACAAATCAAAATATTGTGGTTAACAGTATCAAAAACCTTAGATTGATCTAAAAATATCCCAATTGTAAATTTCTTATCGCCTATTGCACTTAAAAGTTTACTTACAACATATGAAGTTGCTTGGTCTGTCGAGCGGTTTTCTCAGAAACCAAATTGTGAATCTAACAAGAGTTTATATTTATCAAAGAAACACACAAGTCGTTTATAAATTAATTTTTCAAACACTTTGGAAAAAGTGGGCAGAACTGAGATAGGTCTACAATTTTCAAGATTGTGTTTACTGCCATTTTTTTTTTTGGTGTAACTTTACCCACTTTCACAACGTCAGGAAAGATTCCTGATGTTAGTGACTTGTTGAAAATTGCGGCTAACCGAGGCGCCAGGGAATACCGTGCTTGTCAAATGTGTTTAGGCCGTCCATAAGCCTCATCATTTTTATAAGTGTACCAAAGTACACTTTTCACTACCCCTGCCCCCCCCCAAAGTGTACGTCAGCGGGCAAAAAATGATGATGGATGAGACCTGATGGATCTGCTGACAGATCATCATTTTTTACATTCAGAAGAGCGTACACAAGGTCTCTAACCCCCCCCTTCGGTTTGTATGCTCATGAAAATAATGAAAATTATGGACAGTCCCTTACTAGACCAGGTTGGACAATGTCTTCATTACACTCTGATTAACATTTGAAACATCAACTCATCCTCCAAAAGCAAAATTGGTTACAATACACCTTGTTTTCCAAACTCCTAGTTGATGAGGGTAGCTGAGTTTCATTTACATGTTCCTTGCTTGTATATCCTGCATATACACAAATGCTTGGTTTAGGTCACTGGATGATGGATCACAGATAATACATCATGTAACATGCATGACCATATAGTTGCCAGGTCCCTAATTTTGCCACCTGTTGTCAAGTCTGATTGGTTTTCACAGTAAGTGGCCAAATAAGGGACCTGGCGACTATACGGTCATGCACGTTATCATACTTCCATGCTCCCACCATAAACCTCAAAATAAACTTCTTGTGTAAAGGCTTACATGTGCGTGGGCAGGCATGACATGCACAGCAACTGCTGGTCTGGTTAATAGACTAAAAGATACTGACCGTTAATTTTACGATCTTTGACTAGGCAGGGCACCAACATACATGAATTTCAAGTCTTAATACGAGAAGTCTGTCCAGGATGTTTACGACAGGAACATTGAGCTGTGGTAGTTTTCTCAAACACATTACCCAAGGACACATTTACATATTCTCAACCTACTGTTGGCGAACTTCACAAATTTAGAATAGGCCCAGGCCTACATGTATGTCAATAAAATTTCAGGCCCACCTCTGTCACTGTCAGCAATGTGAATAAAACAGTGTTAAAAATTTGCTAAGGCAGGATGAAATGAAACCCTGGATGTGGGTCACAATGTAATGAAGGTATCATGTGATCTGGACTAATCCCTTACCTGAGGCTGATTTAAATTAACCCTAACCCCCTAGGCACTTTTACAAGGAACCATCCCGAATCCTCCGAAATCCTTCGATTTTCAACATGCAAAAAATTGCATTCAGTCCAAATCCTCCAATATCCTCCAAAAGTTCTTGAAAATGTCAGTTGGAGCTGTGCCTAACTGCCCAAATCCTTCAAAATCCTCCAGCAATTCCTGTCATGTTGAGGCAAGGTGATTGGCACTCTTGAGCTGTGCAGTTGATTCAACTGAAATATCGGGCTGAACTTGTACTTGACTAAGCACAAACAACATAAGGTGTAATCCATGACCTACACGTAGTGCATCCTTCGAAATCAGCCATGTACTTTTGCCATACACCCTAAATCCTCCAAATTCCTCCACTTTGCAGAAAAAGATCTTGGAGGATTTGGGAGGATTAGGGTTAACCCTAACCTTCCCAAATCCTCCAAGATCAACACCAACATGAATGTACTATTACTAGTATTAGGACACTCACTCACCAAAATAAATGACCACATCGACTGACTACAGCATCCCTGGCTGTATCCAGGCAAATATTGCATTCGAAGAGGCTTTCCTGGGACGCTGACCCATCTTTCTCTGCAGAATCTGCCGCTGTGGCCCCGGTGGCCCCGCCATTTGCGCTGTCTTTACTCGCCTCGTCTGGAGTGTCCGTTTTCGCGTGCGCATCAGTTCGGCGCTTCAGCCCGTCCGAGTCCGCATCCATGTTCTCTGGAATATGGGCTTTCACGTCTGGCATGATCCGGATGATTTTCCTCAAGTTTCAGTTCGTCCAGCAGATAAAGAAAAAGTGTATTCGATCGTTGGTAACTCCACGTTGATTTTAAAGACAATCAAAAGTCATCAAGTACGAGATCAATGGAGAAATTTCTGGGTGAAAATTCTGTCTTCGGTTCATGGCTTGTCTAAGCACCGATATTGGTTGCGACGACTAGGTACGGTCAGTGCTCGTTCTGTGGTCGTGTCCCTCGAATTTTTGCCTTCACTGTTGTATTGCCGAGTTGGGAACCAGTCGATAGTGATAGCCATGTCATGTACATGTACATGTACAGTGAACGTGTACACATACATGTACATGTACGTGTACTGCACATATACAGTACATGTACATTGTACACTGTACACGTAACACTAGCGACAGTAGCGTGATGTTACCACACTCTGCAGCATGCGTGGTACCATATGGGCGGACCTCTACCAAATATAATGGGGGCAAGCTTGGAGTGTTTCCCTGAAATGTTCAATGTAAATGAAGCCATTTTTTATAAATTCATATAACGGGATAAAATGAGACAGGTGTTTGGTTACAACGTATACAGTCATGACAGTGGAAAATAAGATTTAAAATGAAAGTGTCCATGAGAACTATAATTCATGAATCCATGGTTTTAATAATTAATCAGGTTTTTAAAAATAATTGATCAGTTTTAACTAAAATATTAAAATATTTTAAGGAAATAAGAACGGTCAGCCAATTGGCCAATTGTTTGATTACCCTCAAGTTGAGAGCACTCTCGGCAGAACAATAATGATAATGGTCCCTCGTCAATGACTTCGTGCAGAACCCGAGAGGGCGCACTGTGAATGGTCGTCTACGGACCATGCTTCACTATGATATCTATGGGTGCACCACTACAAATAAATTTCC